AAAAGTAAACCAAAACAAACTTGCCTATAAACTTTCTAAAAACATGATTCATTAATGCCATAAAAGTACTAGGAGTATTAATCAAATCAAAAGGCATAACTAATCATTCATATAGTCCAAATTTAGTTTTTAAAAGAAATTTTTCATTTATCTCCCTTTTTTATACGAATTTGATGATAACCACTTTTAAGATCAATTTTAAAAAAGATAGAAGCACCATGTAACTCATCAAACATATCATCAAGTCTAGGGATAGGGTAACGATACTTTGTGAGTGATTTTGTTGATTGTTCTACAATCAACATACATCCTTCAAGATCTGTCTTTTTCTGGCACCAAGATAATAGCGATAACACAAGGGCTAAGGCTCTCACGCACAAAGCCTTTCATCATTAATTCCTCTACTTAGCGCTGATCTCCTTAGTCTCTTCAGGGTTAGCCCTATAAGCAAGCTTGTTTGGAATAACAGCTCTGGGTAAGAAATCTATCCTATGCTCAATTCCTCTCAAGGGAGGAAGTCCATTAGGAATCTCATAAGGGAATAGATCTCCATAATCCTGCAACAAAGAGACAACACTAGAAGGCAAAGTAGGGTTAAGAGTGTTAGTAGAAAAATAAATATTCTTGAGAATTACAATAAGAGCTCGCTCACTCATCAAACCCTCTTGAATCTCACTTTTCCCATACAATAATATTTTCTTTTTATTCTTTTCCTTCACTTCCACCATTCTATTTTTTTCTTTTCTCACCTTCTCACCACTCTTTTTCTTCTCTTTTGATTGATTTTCAAGTAAAGTAATACTCTCTTTCTTTTCTCTCACTCATGCCACAATCGAGGAGATCTCTTCTTTGCTTGTAATCTTGAGCAATTTTGAGTTGATCTTCATAGGGCTTGGATGTGCCTAAGAGGATTTAATAAACAGTCTCCTTTAAAAATAGGCATCTTCTAACAATTTCTAAACCATCATAGCATTACTATCAACTGCCAAGGCTTACCTAATAACAGTGTCCAGCAAGCATGGGGGTTACATCTCACATAATACATCACAAGTAATAAACCTCAAAAGAAAGTAATCAACACTTACTTAGTAACCCTAATTTCACACATCAATCAACCATTGCAATTTGTAGGGCTTAGGGTGTGAGATTAAAGTAGAGATAATTTATTTACAAGTAAGTGGCTAGCCCGTTAGTGCAATTACCACCATTAATTACCATGCTACATACTTTCTCTTTGATGAAGCATCTAGTGTGAAAAATATGCTCGCATTGCTCATGTTCATCATCCTCCTTTGGTTGAATATTGAGAGCTCTTCTTGCCACCAAGATAGAGTGAACTACACCATTACATTTAAGTTCATCTTTTGATTCATGGGAGGTAGAATCATCATCAACATTATTAACATCATCTTTATCACTTTCATGCACACTATCATAGCCACCATCATCTCTTAAGATCATAACTCTTTTATTGCTACAATCTCTCGTCATGCGGCCCACACCACGACATTTGAAACACTTAATAGGAGAAGTGTTAGATGAATAAGAAGAAGGTTTAGGGTTAAAAAATTTTACCCTCATACTTGGTCTTTATTTCTTCCTTGGCCTGGGATGTATCTTTAGTTTTAGAATCCTTCCATTTGAAAGTTGCCTTGGAGTCTTTCAAGTGAACTTGGAATGTTTGTTCTTATTTCTCTGCTTCAACTTTATAGTCTTGTGTATGAGCTCTTCCTTGTCCACAAAAGTGTACAAGTCAAGCTTATCTCTCAATTCTAACCTCAAGCCATCCATAATTCTTGACATTGCTTCATGTTCATTTTCTTGAATGTTTGCACGAAACTTCAAGATATTCAACTTGTGTGCATACTCCTCCACTGTTATAGATCCTTGAGAAAACATAGCCTTTCTATTAAGCTTTTTGTAGTAGTAGTTGGGGACATAAGCCTTTCTCAAGTACTTTTTAAGCTTCTCCCACGTTTTAATGGGCTTTTTCCCAAGTTGGCTTCTTTTGTGTTTAAATCTTGCCACCAATAAACAATATAATCAGTGAAATTCAAAAAAGCAGTTTTCACCTTCCTTGGCTCAGACAAATCAAGAGTCATGAAGATTTGGTTCATCTTTATTTCCTAATCAAGGTATTTTTTTGGATTGTTACTATCCTTGAATGAAGGATACTTTTACGTTTGGTTCGGTAAGTCAATATCACATTTTGAGGATTTCTTTCCCTTAGGAGAAGGGGGCTTTTCATACTCCTCATCATCGCTGGGGGTTTCACACTTTTTTCCTTTAGAAGAGGAAGCCTCCGGCTCATCTTTATCCTCCTTATGGAACCTATGATCAAGTTCCAAGCGAAACTGCTGCAACTGTATTTTGATAAGTTCTAAAACAGAGCTCATATCAATACTAGGGGATTCATCCTTGTTACTCATGTTCACAGAAGCACTAGAAACCATATAAGATAAAAATGAATCTCATACACACAAACTCACGTACTTACTCTCAAGATAAATAAAGTCACTCGTGTTTAAAAAAAAAAATTAATGGCTTTTTTTTTTTTTAAAGATGAAAAACACACTTACCTTTTACCATTCACTAAGCTTGTGGATAGTATTCAATGGTGAAACCAAACACAAATCAAGAAACTAAGAAACAACTAAGTGCATTCTTCTAAATTAAAGAAACTAGAAAACAAGCACAAAGATGAAAAGAGAATATTTTTGTATTTTGTTTTTTTTTTTTTGGATTTTGAAACAAATAGGAAAAGTAAAATTTTCAAATAAAATTAAGCTTGCAAAAGAAAAAACCACATGTGACAAACAAAAATAGGAAAGAAAGAAATAAAAGTCAAAGAGTCAAATATTCAGAGACAAAAATAGGAAGCTAAATAGAATAGGAGAGTAGCACAAACAGCAAAATAGGAGAGTACAGAATTTGAAAAGTGCTACCAAAAATTAAAATAAGAAAGTGACCAAAGTAGAAGACTTTCTTACCACTCAAGTTGACTTTTTTCTTTAGGCAACCTATTGATACTTGGAGTTCAAGAATAGCCTTTTTCACCAATCATAACTTACAGCAATATATTTTTTTTTGTAATTTTTTTTAATTTTCGGAATTTTTCTCTTTTTTTTTTCAACACACGAACACGTTTTTTTTTTTGCCTTTTTTTGCACGAATTTTTAGGTTTTTTTTTTTTTGAGAAGGCTAATAAAATCAAAACTCACATAAGATGAAAAAGTCACAAAGATGGAAGAGAAAAACCAAAAGATAGAAGTAGATGGGGTAGAAAAGAGATGATCACAAAAAAAAAAAAAAAACTCAAGATGAAAAAGAAGAAGAAAGAACAAGAATTTGAACCAAAACTAGCAACCAAAGCTCTGATGCCAATTTGATAGGGGACGCAGAAGTAGAATCGTGCTAATTTAGGGACAGAACCTTGAAACACAACAAAAACATAAGAACAAAAAAAAGGGACGAAATTTATGACGAAAATAAAGAAAGAAAGGAAATAAACAATGGGATAATGATCAAGGATAAGATCATCTAGAGCACCTGCCTCTAAGAACCTCAACCTTCGAAAATACCACAAGAGTTGATCATGCTCTTGATCACGCCTGTTTCTCATACGAGATGCCACTGCAAAGCTAAGGCTCACAAGAGTTATAAACTCTAAAATGAATAATTTCATTCAACTTTTGTTTTGTTTACAAGAGGGAGCATGCCTAATATATATAGGATCACAGAGAAGACTATTTCTTAAATTTAAAACCCAAATTTCCTAATACTAAAAGAAGAAATAATATAAAATAATGAGAAAATATTCAGCCACATAATTTAGGAGATGTGATCCTAAAATTATGGGATTATAAAATTTAGAAATTAATAATATAATTAATTATAATCTTTGATTAGACTCAAAAATAGAAAATCAAATCAAAGGACCATTAAAATAGAAATAATTTAGGAGACAATAAAGGGATCATAAAGGATTTAAAATCATGCCACCCTTGACTTCTTTATTAGGGTTTCATGCTTCCTTGCTTGCAAGAGGCTCAACTTGCAGTCTTCCTTGCATTGGGCTAAGGTTTGCATCTCTTGGGTTTGGCTCTTCATGGATTTGGATCTTAAGCACATTATACACGTATAGATGCTCTCTTTTGGGCTTGAAAGGAGTGTCCCAATGCTCTCCAAACTCTTAGACTTCTTGCACAAGGCTAAACAAGGCTTGCTTAATGGCTTTAGTTCGGGCTCTTGTTATTGGACCTCCAATATGTCGTAATGGGTCTTTAAGTACGTTGGATTGGTAGTATTGGGCTCCTTACTCCTTTCTTTGGGCTCCTTCCATGTCACCATGCTCATGATTATCATCCTCAAGCTTCGCTGCCATTAATGCCATATCATCCGTGCCATGGGGGCCATCACCTAGTGTTGGTGTATTTGTTATGATAAAACCTTCAATTTATTTGGATTTAAGTAGAAATAATCTTGTGATGTACTATGACATTCCCTTTTTTAGGTAATTATGTTAAATATTTTGAGTAGAATGCCCTACTGCATTTCTGAAGGTTTTTTCTTTCTTGTTATAATTTAATATTATTTTGAGACTGCTGGATGGTGTAGGTAAAAGGTGGTTCCATTACTTTCTCGCAGCTTGCTACACAATGGCTTCTGCGATCTAGTGAGATTCTTCAGAATCCTTATTCAAGCGATGCTGTTGTTTCTGTGCTGAGGGAAGCTGAACAGTTTCTTTGGGCCGGTCCTGAGATGAATTCTGTGAGTTCTTGATGTTTTTTGAATTTGGTCCCATTAAATAATGTTTCACACAATTAAGGTTTTTTTGGTTGGGATATAGGTTCGAGATATGGTGAAGAGTTTGATTGAAGCTCAGAAGTGGGCAGAAGGGATAAGAGATTGTTTAAGAAAAATTGAAGCCTGGTTGTGTGATCAGGACTTTGACAGAGAGAAAGTGCACCTAGAATTTGTTGATCAGCTGCTAACATTTAATTTTGCACCATGCAATGAGCCTGCTTATCATAAGTTGAAGGTGTTATTTAAGTTTATTTTTGTTGCCCCTTCCGTATTTTTTTTTTAACTTTAAATAATGACACCAGGAATATACAGAAGGGGCTGTGTTGTTAAGTCAGGAGATTAATATTGCTTTGTCAAAGTGTTCAAAGGTATTTTAACATAGACTTCTCAACTATATGCCTTTGTCAATGTGTTGTAATCTTGCTAGTTATAAATTACATTCGATGAAATTCTGCTTCTTCTATCTAGTCCACCATTGTAATAAACAATGTTCATTTCAGATGTCTGAGTTGGAATCATTGCATTCTAGAGTTTGTGGCTATCCACTCTACGTGAAAGATGTTGAGAAGTTGGAAAGGAAAATTTCTTCAACTAAGGTAGAATTTGCCATATAATAATAGCATTACTCATATATTTCTACTTGGGTTTTTTGGAACTTTATTTTTATTTATCTCTTTCAATTTTGTTTGGAATTATATAGAAGATTAGGGATTGTTGGGTGTTCTATATCAGAGATTTGTTACATCCAACTTAAACTACCAGGAAAAAACTATGTTTACTTACTAATTTTTTATGCTTTCCCGTTGAGTTTTCTCCTTCTATCTTTCAGAAGAAGGCATTGGGGCTTGCTGTTTTCTGCTGTCAATTCCAAAGAGAAAGAAAACATATTGTGAGTTTATGGATGAAAAGGGGATTGATTTATTCACAGAGAGCAGCGACACATATATAGGAGAGATCAGATCATAATCAGATCACAATCGCATCAAATCTCCTCTGTAATCTGGAAAATAAAAACAGAATAGTAAATTTGATCCCAATCCCTAATAATCTGCTGATAAATAACTAAAGATAATAACAATTAGATCTAGGGTTAGTTTTAGTGAAATTAATGGGCCTAAGGCTTATGGGCCATTTAACCTACTTCCAACACTCCCCCTCAAGCTGGTGAATAGATGTTGATTATTCCCAACTTACTTATCATTTCATCAAACTTGGCTCTAACTAGAGGCTTAGTCATCACATCTGCAACTTGTCTTCCTAAAGGAATGTAGGCCAGGTTTATGACTTTAGCTTCAATTTTTTCCTTGATGAAGTGCCTATCAATCTCAACATGCTTAGTCCGATCATGTTGAACAGGATTGTTTGCAATTTTTAGAGCAGCCATGTTGTCAGACCACATTTTGATAGGAGCTTCCATTTCTATACTGAGTTCCTTTTGAAGTTGTACAACCTATATACTTTCACAAATCCTAAGTGCTAATGCTTTATGTTCAGATTCTGTCGATCTTCTTGAAACTATTGGTTGTTTTTGGCTTCTCCAAGTCACTAGATTACCCCACATAAATGTGCAATAACTTGTTGTAGAGCGTCTATCATCAATGGCTCTTGCCCACTCTGTATCAGTGTAAATCTCTACATCTGTTGTATTGTTTCAGCCCTGAATTCCGTTGTTCCCATCCGTATAGATCTCGACACACTGCTTGTTCCCTTTTGAGATGAATAATCCCTTGCCTGGTGTGTTTTTTAGATATCTTAGAGTCCTGTTTACACCTTCCATATGCTCCTTCCTTGTTGTTCTAAATAATTTTTGAAAGTGGAGTTCAAATATTCTCTTCTGTTGTCATTGCGAAGAATTTTAATTAATGTTTGAAATTGATTTTGAATAAACACACATGAAAATTTTGAAGATGGTGAGAACCTCAATTTTTTCTCTCATTAGAAAACCCATGTTAGTCAAGTATGATCATCTATAAACATGACAAACCACCTACATTTGGAGTTCGTTTCAAATTTTAATGGTACCCATACGTCACTACGGATAAGGGAAAAAGGGTGAGTTGGAGTAGAAGAATTAAAAGGAAAAGAATGTCGGACTTGCTTAGCAAATTTGCAAGTATCACAATGAAATTCAGAAATTGTTTTATTAGTGATATTAGGAAACAGAAATTTCATATATTGAAGGCTTGGATGGCCTAACCTAGAGTGCCATAAGGTAAGGTCAACACTGGTCATGACAGAACAGATAGTAGGATTATTCTTGGATGGAGGTCTATGAATATAGTAGAGTCCATGCCATTCCTTAGCATTACCAATCATCTTCCCCAAGACTAAGTCCTGAAATTCACAACCCCTTTTGTCAAAAAATACTAAGCAGTGGGCTTGATTTACAATGCGACTTACAGATAGTAAGCTACATTTAATAGTTGGAACATATAAAACATTTTTTAAGGTAAGATGCTCAGAAATAATTATAGTTCCATTTGCAAATTCACCATTGGATACTTCAACATATTTATGCTTAGAATGTTCATTAAAATTAGAAAAAAAGTTCTCTGAAACCTGTTATGTGATCAGTAACTCCTGAATCTACTACCCAAATATTCTTTGGGTTGGCTTTCTCACTGAGAGTATAAGTAAGGGCAGTACCTAAATGTGCCAAGGTTACAGAAGGATGTTTTGGCTCACTCATTCCAGTTGAAGAAGCATGCTTTTCTAGGATTTTCCGGAGAATTGACAACTCTTCAGTACTTAAAGACCCACTTTCAGGTTCTGCATCACCAATCATAAGCCCCTTTCCTTCATTTTTAGGCTTTACTTTGGAATTTGGGGGCTTTCCATGTAGTTTCTAGCAAACCTCTTTGGTATGCCCACTCTTATTGCAGTGATCACACCATTTTCCAGATTTCTTGCCCTTCATTTCCCCTTGAGCTCCATGGACAACAAGTGCGGAAGCGTTATTCGAAATAGGAGTTGATATTATGGAGCTTTGAGTCAACATTTTTCTGCTCTCTTCATATCGGATCATGTTGAAGGTTTCTTCCAGCATAGGAGGGGGTTTCATGCTCATTATTTGACCCCGAATATCCTCAAAAGTTTCATTTAAACCCAGCAGAATATCATGACATCTGTCTCGATCAATCAGTTTTTTATAATAAGTCCCATCCCTGTGACAAGACCACTTATGGATCTCATAGAGATCAATTTGCTACCAGAACTTCATTAGAGTAGTATAATATTGAGTTATAAACTTGTCACCTTGAATGAGATTTCTAAGGGAACGTTTTACTTGGAATATAGCAGTAGCATTTTCTTTGATCGAGTACGTGTTTTTTGCTGACTCCCAAATTTCTTTGGCAGTGGTTGCAAGCAGGTAATTCTCACTTATCTCCACTGTCATGGAGTTTATAAGCCATGCCATCATCATATTGTTCTCAACAACCCATATTGCATATTGGGCATTATCAGGCATCAGTGGCGGAGGAACACCAGTGAGATATTTTTCTTTATTCCTCCCTCGGACTACCATCAAAATGTTCCGGGACCACTGAAGGTAGTTATTCCCATTCAGGCGGTGCGTGACTGCGACCTGGTAGTGCGTCTCAGTTATTGGCGCAACTACCCCAGAAGGCAGAATCGTTGAGTTCAGCCTTCTCCTCTAGTTGCACCCTTCTCGTCCTAGTCGAAGGCGTTTTGCTGCCATCGCTGGTTTGGAAGACTCGAGGTTGTTGGTGAGTGAGTGCGTTCATGTACGACATCGTGAAGGAAGAGGGAAGAGTCAAGACTAGAGCTCTGATATCATGTAATTGAATCTGTTTTCCCCTCTATGTTTTATTGACAAATCACGATTTACATATATAGATGGAGGGGAGAGAGAATAAATCTAATCAGATTCCTAAACTCTCTTATGAAATAAAAACTAATAATAATAATCACTAATTACAGATTCTGAAGGACGTTGCAAGCTCAGGAAGGAAAATTAGGTTTGTGTATTAGTGGGTCTAGGCCCAATATAGGCAAAGGCCCACATCCAACATGAAGTCGCATGAGCGATAAAAATTTAGGTATAGGTCGATGGCAGCTCTAATGCCATGAACACTTTTGTGATGAATCATGCTTCTTTATATAGAGGGAAATAGTATTTATAAAGTACAAGAGAGGTGATAATAATAATATCATATCAGAAAAATAAAATCTAATCCCTAATATCATGCTGAAAAGATAATAACAACTAAAATAAAAAGAAAGATAATATGAGATTAAATCTAGGGTTAAGTTAACTAATGGGCCTAGGGTCCATCAGCCCACTTTCAACAGTGATGCATAGTTGTGAATTACTAGGGAAACTTGTTAATAGTACCTTCTATATATTCAGTCTTGTTGACTTGTTAAAATGTGAAATAAACATGTTAAAATCCTAACTCAATTTGTTAAAAAAATGAAGGGCATTTGGTAGTTTCCTATCAAATATTTTCGACTCAGTCCCTTAGTCCTGCAGTGTATATTTATTTTTCATATTCTATTGATCCTGATTTGAAGTTAAATCCCTACAAGGATCCTTTCCTGAAATTATCCCGAAAAAGATGGCAATGAAATCAACAATACCTTTCACTCTCTTGAAAACTTGTGGGATCAAATCTCTTAGAAAAGCTTTAGGCCACCAAACATAAACATAAAAAGGAAGCTGAATGGACATTTAATCCCACAAGAGATGAGGAGTTGATGATTAATTTACAAATGATGCATGACTTTTTCATTAAAAATAAAATGGTACATGATTGTCTCTATGAGAGTGCACCTGTAGCTTAGCACCAGCCTGAAGTTTTGCTTATGTTCTCAAGTGCATATTTTTTAAAGCTTGAGCTGTTATGTGGTACTTTAAGCTTGTGGAGCAGTGCAAATTTTGCTTTCCATATTTCGCTAAACAGGTGTGTGTGTGTGTGTGTGTGTGTGTGTGTGTTTTATTGTTTTTTGGCACACTTCAGGTGTGGCTGCAGAGAGCCAGAAGCTGCATCTCCATCAAACATCCTGCTGCAGTAGAGCTTGATGTTCTTTACAAGTTGAAGTCAGAGGTTATCAAGGGATCATTTGTTTAAGCTTTTGTTTTTAATGACAAAAATCACATTTTTTTAAAAAAAATTTAATTTGTGAAGTTTTATGATGTTTGTTTAAACTTCTTAAAATAATTAGAATCTCAAAAAAAAGGTGGCGTCTGAAAATAATATGATGTGGTTGGTGAGAGAAAAATACAGAGATATTCGGAAATATTATAAAATTTTAATAAATCATTCTCTATGAATAGAAATCCATGAAGATATCGTAAAATTTTAAAATCTGATATGGTAGAAGATATAGAATAGAGAAGAAATAGAGTAGAACAGAGGATAAATAGGAAGGAAGATGAGACAAAGACGAGAGATAGATAGGAGGGGATAGAGACTAAGCAATACTTTCCTTTTCAGGTTACAACTAGGGTCTCTTGTATAGGTTCCCAAATCCTTTATTCTCTGCAGCAACTAACTAACCTCAACTAACCAACCAAATATTTTTTATTTCTTTATTTATTCTTTTCATATCAAAATCGCTAAAGAATAACCACTTTTTATTATTATAGTCAAATATAAAATAATTTCTGTTTTTATAAATCTCGACAAAATAAATCTTTTTTTATAAAATCTAGAAATTATCTATTATTTTTTAATTTTAAACAAATGGGCCCTAATTCTTGAGAAACAGTGCATTTAGTTTGACTTTGTTTAATTTCTCAATTATAGTTCCTGTCAGCGTAAAGGTGGCTGACGGTCTTACATTATTTATTGTAATTTAAAGCAAGCTCTCAAGTTAATGTGTAAAGGGATTGCAATGTTTCAAAAATGAAGGGAAATATTTTCTGCTATGGTATTAATTTAATATATTAGTATGCATATACTGTTTAATCGACATAAGACTCCAAGTCATGCACATATTTTGCATTACATGATCTATATAATGATTAAATAATTTATTCATTCTTTATAATAGATTATGGAGCTTCAAGTACTGCTTCCAGAGATGGACGTGATTCAGAATATATTAAGTCAAGCAGAATCTTGTGGTTCAAAATGTAGTGAGATGTTAGAAGGTCCCATGAATCTAAAGGTTTGGTTGTTGTTCCTTTCTCACTTCTTTAAGTTTTATTGGTTGTTAAATTGGATTACTTTATTAGCAAAGGTGATCTGCAGAATGTCAAGATGCTTCTTAAGGAATGGGACGGCTTTATGGTTGATGTACCTGAGGTGAAGCTTTTGCGGAAATATTATAAGGATGCTGTTTCATGGGTTTCCAACTTTAACCATATTGTAGAGACAACACATGAACGGGAGGACCAACATAATGTCATCGATGAATTGAAGAGTATTTTAGGAGATGGTTTATCATTAAAAATTCATGGTAAAAGTGGATTCTTTTGTCCCACTTTATCATAGTTTAGATCTTTATAGGCCATGTATCTGTTTATTATGTTGTCAATTCATTGTCCCCACTGTCTCACCTTGCAGTTGATGAGTTGCCATTGGTTGAGACTGAGCTGCAGAAAGCTCTTTGTCGGGAAAAGGCTCTACAGGCATGTTCATTTTTCTAGTGCATTTGTCGTACGGACCTTGGATTTATTTATTAGAATTGTGTAGCATCGAATGTTTGAGCTATGAATTTATTATATTACGTGCTGAAGCAATTCTTCCAATTTTTTAAACTAATTAATATTAGAATTATTTGTAATTGGCACAGGCATATAAATCTAGGTTGTCTCTGGAATTTGTTCAGGAAGTGATGAAGGAGGCCAGACTGTAATTTGCAATCTCTTTTTCTTCTTTCAAAACTGAAAAATTATAAAACTTTAATATAATCCAACTACTTCCATTTTTTTGTTAATTTCTAGGCTACAACTTGAGGGAGAGAAATTATTTGTTGGTTTATCTGGTTTACTTGCTGTTGCCATACCTTGGGAGGAAAGGGCTAAAGAGATTCTTTCACATAAGGCTTCCTTCTCTGACTTCAGGGACATCATCAGGTTCAAGGATGGTTGACATGTTTATTAGAATTACTGAGCTTTTCTAGCTTATATTGATTCATGGTTATTATTGCATTTGGTTGGTCTTGTAGGGCCTCAGAGAGCATATTTATGATTCTTCCTTCCCTTGATGATATGAAGGCAGCACTGCTGGAAGCTAATTCATGGCTAATGAATTCAAAACAATTTTTGGTTTCTTCTACTTGTCCATCAGATTCTCCACTGAAAGTTGAGGAGCTTCAGGTTCATTTCTTGTCCTGTTTGCTTTTCATCTTTGCTGAAAGCAGGTTCACTATAAATATGGAATTTTGGTTTTTTTTGTAGATGTTGGTTTCTCAGTCAAAGCTTCTTAAAATATCTTTTGAAGAAGTGAGGATGCTTGAAATAGTTCTGCAAAACTGCAAAAAATGGGAGTGTGAGGCATGTTCTCTATTGGAAGATGCCCAGCATACTTTTGAATTGGATGACGTTGTTCATGGAATAAGCAGTGGCCTAATGTCCAAAGTTGAAGGTTTGATTGCCAGAATGCAGTCTAGCACAAAATCTGGTTTATCGCTTGGTTTTGACTTTGATGAGCTTCCCAAACTTAAAGCAACTTGTTCTACACTGCGTTGGTGCAAAAAGATTCTTTCCTTCTGCAATCTTTCTCCCTCTTTGGAGGTTACTATTCTTTCTATTCAAACTACTATTTATTGCATTTGCAAAAAGTCGTCTTTTTTTAAATTTAATTGGCCTAGTGAAGTGTGGTTGATAGGATGCAAGATAGGTAAAGAGAAATGAGGAAGATAAATATCTATTAACACATGAAATCAGGATCTAACTTCATAATCTCAATAGCCACGTTTAAGAGAATCTTTAAAGGGCCAAGTCTCAAAGTCTGTTTTATTCATAATATGCTTGCTTTTGAGTTGTTAAGAATATTTATAATATTGAATACAATCTAAAATAATGAATAAAATCTATATAATTAGATAATTAAATAAAATTGAATAAAATCTCCTAGAATCTATATCTATATAAAATATTGAATAAAATCTAAATAAAATCTATGGAACTAAATATTTGAATAAAATCTAAATAATTAGATATCTGGATAAACATCTAGATACTTAAATAAATATCTAAATATCTACATAAAATTTAGATAACTAAATACCTAAATGAAATCTAAACAATATTATTAAATAGAAAATATCTAAAATAAATTAAAAATAATATTTATTCATAATATCTCTCTTCCCAGATCACCCATTACCTCAGAACTCTATCAGTGGCTAAGGTCAGTGCTGGTATTGCATGGATCACTGCTTTAATATATTTAAGATTCTTTGTCCATGGAGAACAAAAGTTTCTCCTCAAAGTACTTTTTGACCTTCTCTCTCTTAAAAGAGAATAAGAAAGAGCAGGTTGTCTCATGCTTTCTAAGGTTGCTTTCTGATTGATAATGTAGGATGTTTTGGAAGCTACAAAAGACTTTCCTCATTTGTGTGATTCTGGGGCCCTATTGAATATACTGATTCGTGGAGTCAAGTGGCTTAGGCAGGCCTTGGAAGTAATTTCTGGATCACACAATTCTAGAAGAAGCAAGTCAGGCGAAGTTGACAATATTATTAGAGATTACCAGGTATTATTTTATCCCTGCATTGTCCTCTTGATGATTGATAATTCTTATTTCCTTATTTTTTGTTTATTCAATATAAAATGTATATGTATTGATATCTGCAGCCTGCGTCTGCATTTTTCTTACCTGCAGACTATTAATATTCCTTTTGCAGCAATAGTCTACCAACTTGAAGAAGCCATTGGAAAACATAAGTAAGCTTTTGTTGTTGATAAATCAATTATTTATCAACTCTTTATTTTTTTATCTTCTTTTTCTCTTTTGGTCTTGTGTTTTTCTAGAAGATTTCAATTAATTATTTGGATTTGTAAAGTTTACACTTGCTGGATTAATTTCCAACCTATTTACTGTATAAGCCATCCTGGGCCAGAATTTGCCAGTGGACAGCACTTTCACTCTAGGGAATGTGGGTTTGTGGTTTTTCAATTTTCTATGGGACAGTTTGATAAAGTTGATATGCCTGCCTTATATATGGTATGCATTATCTAATTACTTTTTATTTCCGCTGTAGAATGTGGCAAGAACAGGCACATCAATTCCTTAGCCTTTGTTCTGGGAAACGGTCTTGGGTATCAATGTTGAAACTCAAGGTATGTTTTTAGCACATATCAACATATGGCTGTCATGAATCCTTTGTCAACTATTTTATATTTAACTAGACATGTTTCTGGTTTGCCTATATAATTTAAAGAATAAATCATGTTGTTGATGGGTTGTGAATAATGCAACTTGCTTTGGATTTATTGTATATTGATATATTGATTGTAAAGATCCTCATGGGGCCTTGGCATTGCCTCGGTTCACTCGACACTGATAAGATTTGATTACTTCAGGAATTAGGTGATAAGGTTGCCTTCACCTGCAGAGAACTAGATTTGATATCATCTGAAGTTGAGAAAGTGGAGAATTGGAAGAAACACTGCATGAATTTTGTAGGAACTTTAGTCCAAAATGAGAATTCACTGCTTGATGTTCTGCAGAAGGTCTTGATTCTAGAGTTTCTTCATTTCCTTGACTCAACTGTGCATTACATATGCCCAAGACCTTGCTTGTAATTTTTCAGATGAAACAGAGTTTAGATAGATCATTGTTCATATATGGCAAGTTGAAAGACTGCAAGGACGAATGTTTATGCATCTACTGCTTTACTGATTTTGAGGATCAGGAATATCTTACTTGCTCCACTTGTGGAAACTGGTAAGGCACTCGTTGCTTTGTGACAATTTGGTGTACTTATTCCAGTGCTAAAAGGTTGACCCAGTCAATAGATAAAAATTTGTCTTTACAGTAGGTGGCGGCTTCAGTTTGGAGCTCATTACTTAATAGTGGAAGCAATAATAGAAAAAAGATTGAATTTCAATTTCTTCAATTATTGAGTCCTATAATTGAAATAAATAACATCATTCAGTCTGAGTAACTTCTTGTTTACATGTTATTGTTTTTATGGATACATTAATGTATTTTTAATATATTTCACATGAACAGCTATCATACGCTATGCATTAGACCTTTGGTGGACAATAGCCATGAAGATTATACGTGCTCTTCCTGTAAAATTTTGAAGGGTGAATCCAATTATAAGAAGGGAACTCTCCCTGTGGTATGATTTCTGTCATTTCATCATTAGCAAATTTCTACAGAAGCTTCTGTATCTTTCCTGCTTTTCTTTTGCTCCATGCAGGGGTTTGGTGTGAAGCGTGCTGACTGAAAGTTCTTCTTGAACTTCTTTCTGATGCTAAAAATTTGTGTGTAAGGTAATGTGTGATAATGTAAACCCTTATGTGCACCATGTGTAACTGACCTAATTTCATAGCTCATTTCTTTTCAGATATTGCTCAAGACATTTGTTTTTTTTTTTTTTTTTGGCGAATTGTTTCAAGTTTTTGGTTTGTTTTTTTTTAGGAGCCTTCAATTTCATTGCAACATGCCCATTCTAGGACAAATACAAAATGTGTTTTACAGTTCAAGTCTAAAGTAGTAATGTTAATGAATCCTTTTCTCTTCCTCTTGCTTCCAGTTTAAAGAAAGAATATACCTTGAATATCATTCATACTTCTGCATTCCCTTTCATGGTTTTCACTTTCTAAAGATTAGGCATGGGCCTTCGTCTATTGAACATCATGGATTTTCTCATTGTTGATTTGTGACAGTGGATGGAATTTTTAACGCATACAATTTTCTTGTACACCCAGGATTGATGAGACAGATGCTCTCAACCAACTTGTTGAGCAAGCGCTTCTATGCAGATCTTGCTTGCGAGACATAGTGAACTTCACATCTGCTGATGTAGACAATGATCTTAGCACCATCTCTGAAAAATTGACCATAGCTATAAAGGCAAGTTGTTATTTTATTATTTTGCCTTAAATGTCTATTTTCCTATTATAATGTGATACCTTCTGATTTAAATGTTGTGCACTCTAATCTGCTGGGAGTTTTAATGCAGCATGGGGATTACTGATGGAAATCATTATCATGTTCTCACTTAAAATAACAAGTACCAGTATTTACAATTTGAATGATTTTACTTATTGAGGTCATTTCATATAGGCCTGTGAAGTTGCTGGCGTCTCTGATCAGCAAGATTTACACAACTTTGAGTTGGCTTTAGCAAGACACCTTTGGAAAATTCGAGTCAATAGAATGCTAAATAGTTTACAAAATCCTTCTATCCAAGAGATTCAGAAGCATCTGAAAGAGGTATGTGCTGTTTAGGTTTCATTTTTCTTGGGTTTGCATGCAAGATAAGGATAAGTTGTCAACTTATCTATTTATTCCTCCTCTAGTTAATTGCTTATCTTTTATATTGCCCGCTGTCCAATTTCCTGTTGCTACAAATTCAGTCTCTAGATTGAAGATTGTTGTAACTACTTGAATCTGAATAGTGTATTTTATTTATTCTGATAGCTAGAATATATACAAGAGGGAGGAGCCTTAGTGTTAATGGCTCATAATGATCCTTAATTACAGAATATATGGTTATGACTGTCTACATATTATATACTAATATCCTAACAACCCCCTCAAGTTGGAGCATTGAAATTAAGCATGCCCAACTTATTACATAGATATTTGATTCAAGCTCCATTGAGTGCTTTTGTGAAAATATCACCTAGTTGTTCTTCAGTATGCACATATCCTGTGAAGATGGAACTCTTGAAACTTGTCATGAACAAAGTGATAATTAATCTTGATGTGCTTCATGTGTTCATGGGACATTGGATTAGAAGCTTTACTATCGCACCAAAAATTTGCCAGTGATGAGGTCTTCAGGCCAACTTCAATAACTAATATATCCATGCTACATCACACACAGATTGCATCATGGCCTTGTATTCTGATTTTACACTTAACCAGGACACCACGTCTTGCTTCTTGATTTTCTAAGACACCAAATTTCCTCCCACAAATACACAATATCTAGTAGTAGACTGTCTTGTTGATTTGGATCCACTATAATTTATATAACTGAAACACTCAATATCAGCATGGCCATGGTTACTGTGGTTCAGAATGCTATATATATTGTTTATTCATTGAGTCCATAACATTTGTAGATGTCTCTTCCTCAACAACCTCCTCCTTAAGTTCCATGTGGTTGGGTTCTGGAACCTCTATCGGATTGGACTCTGGAAGTGCTATGGGCATGATGGTACTATTATCATGTTTCCTCTTCCGTTCATAAACCAGTGTAAAATCTTTGCTTTTACTTATTGAGATAGAAGGAGGTGTTTGGGTTTTAGGTGGCATAACAGGTTCAAGAACTCTCTCCCCCTCACGTTCCAAAAACTGATATTCACCCCTACTCCCCTTGAATAGAAGATTTTGGAAAGAATGGTTTGTGTTCAACAAACGTGACATCAAGACTAGTGTGGAGATGTTTAGTAGTAGGGTCATAACATCGATACCCCTTTTGTGAGGGAGAATAGCCCAAGAAGACACACTTGACCACACGAGGTTCAAATTTGGAGGGTTGTGAAATATGAACAAAAGATGTGTAGCCAAAAACTTTAAGAGGAATTGAGGATGTGAAGTGAGATAAATTATGAGATTCTTTGAGTTTGTCTAGTGGAGTGGAGAAAGAAGGAACACAACTTGGCATTCGGTTAATGAGATAAGTAGCAGTAAGAATAGCATCCCCCAAGAAATAGTTAGGAACATTAAATGTAAACATTAATGCTCGGGCGACCTCAAGGAGGTGTTGGTTTTTTCTTTCAGCAATCCCATTTTGTTGGGGACTGTTAGGGCAAGTACTCTTGTGGAAAATACCATTATTTTGAGAAAAGTACCCAATTGATTGTTGAAATACTCAGTACCATTATCAGTGTGAAGAATTTGAATGGAAGTATGAAATTGAGTTTTGATGATAGTATACAATTCAAAGAAAACAGAAGAGACATCACTTTTGTCCCATAATAGATAGACCCAATAAAGTCTGGTTTGATCATCATTGAATGTGACAAACCATTTTGAATGTGTTTGATTAGGAATATGTGAGAGACCCCATAAATCACTATGAACGATAGAAAAGGGATGAGACGATTTGTATTCAAATCGAGGAAAAGTAGTTCGATGGTGTTTGGCCAGTTCACACTCATTACAATGAAGAGAAGTTATTTTATTATAACAAAGTTTAGGAAACAACTGAGACAAATATTGAAAATTTGGGTAACCCATTCTCCTATGACATAACATAATATACATAGTGGATTTATTTTCATTGGTAGAAACTAAATTGCATTGAATGCGAGACCGTAGGTTACTCATGGTTGATTCATCTAGATATTAAAGACCATCATGTTCCTTAGCATTGTTAATCATCTTCCTCGATAGAAGGTCCTGAAAAATACAATGAGTGGAACAAAAGTGAGCCCAGCAGTTTGCGTTTTTTGTGATCTTACTAATGGACAGATGATTGCATGCTAAATAGGGCACATGTAAAACAGATTTTAATTTCATATGTTTAGATATAACCACACTTCCTTTGCCAACTATAGAAGAGGATGACCCATTTGCTGTGTTGATTGTTTCATTACCCGCACAAGGGGTATATCTACTAAATAACTTAGAATCACAAGTCATGTGATCTAATGCACCAGAATCCACTATTCATTTAAAGTTATTTAAAATAGAGAGGAAAGCACATGCACCTTTGTGAGCTATAGAAGCAGTAGATTTGGATTTTTGATATGATTCAATCTTTTCTAAGACACTTAACATCTCTAGAAGTTTACCTAGTTGCTCTTGCTCCATCTTAGGAAGGGCAGATGACTCAACTTGGTCATTGTCATGAGATGCTTGGTAGACACGAGACTCTCTCTTGGTTTCCAATTTGGTGGTTTCCCATATAGGTCCTAGCTTACATCTTTAGTGTGACCTTGTTTCTTACAGTGCTCACGGGTCACTTTTCCTTTCTTGCCCTTCGGATTGGTGTCATTATTGCGGCTAATCAACGCAGAAGATTTTGAGGGTGAAGATGGAGGAGGAAGAGGGTCAAGCAACATTACCTTATACATAGATGCTTTATGATGTATTTCTGAGAAGACTTCTCGAGTTGACGGGAGAGGTAATCTCAAAATTCTACTTCGAATATCATTTAGTGATGACTTCAATCCGGCTAGGAATTGAAATACATGTTCATGCTCAATCTTCTCCTTATATTTCACTGCATCACTTGGATCTTTCCATTCCTCCTCAAACATGAGGTCGAGTTCTTGCCAGATTGTTGACATCTAGAGCCAATACTCTATTTTGGTGCATTCCTTTTACTTCAACGACTAAGAGCTTGTCTTTAACTCGTATAGTATTGCAAGCTCTTCACCATTGTAATAGGAATCACAAGCAGCAACCCAGATATCTGTTGTAGTGGGTAAAAACATGAAGCTTCGCTTGATTTTAGCAGTCACAGCGTGATAACGTGAGATGGCTCAGCCATACTGCAAGAATGTCGACACTGCAAACAACACGATTAAAGCAAGAGGCACATGGCAGTGATGGCATGAGCTTGGATTTGAGTTGTAGAGCTGTTTTGGACTTTGGGGTTGATGTCGAGCTTGAAGGGTTGAAGACAAATTAACTATGATAGAGCACTACTCTATGCAAGACTACTAGCGGAAGAGGGAAAGAGAAGTTCTTGAGTGGAAGATGCAAGTGAGAATATAGAAGAGAAGATGGAGGTTGGAGGTAAGGGGAGTGAAGGGAAATGGGAATGGCTAGGCGATTGTGAAATTGAAAGGGGCAGAAGGAGAAAGTAAAAGACTAAAAGTAAAGAAAAGAAAGGATGGGAGGTAAATTGTAATTTTTTGTCATAAAATAAAGTGTCAAATCATGTGGACGTTGGAGAATAGGAGGTAAGGTATGAATTTTTTATTTTTTTGAAATTGGCCCATTTAACCTGCCATTTTAGTGGGCTGGGCTAGCCTAACCCGTTTTATTAAATGGGCTCATTTTGTAAGCCCAACTCGCTAATTTTGGGCAGGCTAGCCTGTTGGGCTGAACCCATTTTTCCGGCTCAATCAAGCTTGCTCTCAGAGTTCTCAATGTAGGATCTGATGGTGAAGTAGATAATTAGTCTCCTAGGGACATTTAGTGTAGACATGAGTAACAGGTGGTTGAGTAGGTGCTTGAGTTGGTGTCTGAATGGTAGGATACATGAAGAAGTCATCATCATCCTTCAGTAGAGAAGGATTGGAAGATAGGGAAAAGAAAGAAATGGATTCAATGAAATGTGACATTTGCAAACACAGTACTAATTAAGAGTAGGAGAGAACCATTGATAGCCCTTTTGGAGATGAGAATACCTAAGAAAAATACATTTAAGAGATTTTGGGTTTAATTTGGTAACTTGGGGCCAAACATCTTGAACAAACAAGTGCAACCAAATATTGTAGGTTCAATGGGAATAGTGGCTTGGAAGGAAAAAGGGTAGTGAAAGGGATGTTACCATCAAGAACATTAGAGGGCATTTGGATAATTAGAAAATAGGCAGCGGAGAGAGAGCATTTGGCTTGAAAAGATTTGGGAACTTCTGTTGAACATAAGAGCATGAGCCACTTTAAGCAAATGCATATTTTTACATTCAAAACCACCATTTTGAGCTGGGGTATATACACGCATGAAGATTAATGAAAAATACCATTTTGAAGCATACATGTTTGAAAAGAAGTGGAAACATATTCTTTAGTGTTTCATTTGTAGTGCATAAAGATATACCAAATTGGGTCTTGATCTCAGCACAAAAGAGAGAATACTTCAAAACAATTTTCATTAAATATAACCAAGTAACACGAGAATGTGCATCAACAATAGTTACACAGTACTTAAACTAGACTTGAAGTTTTCATTATGACATGGACACCAAACATCATATGAACTAACTTAAATGGGGACGCAGCCTGTTGTTTGACTCTAGACACAAGAGGAAGACGGTGATGTTTTGAAAACTGACATGACTCATAATCTAAGGGAACAAATGATGAAATTGAGGATAAAGCTTCTTTAAAGATGTCAAAGACAAGTGGACATAAGTGGCAATGAAGATCAAAGGATATTTAAACACCAGAGCAAGCCATGGCTTGAGGCACCTGAACAACTAGGAAGTAATGGTTGCTAGACTTATAGCCTCTAGTAATAATCTCATTAATCGTAAGATCCTGAATCATGCATTAACCAAGAAACAGTAAGAGACAATAATTTTTCAA